AGGAGTTCTCAGCAGAAAAGAACGCTTTTTTTGTCAGAATTTTTAAACACATGAAAAAGGACTCAAAAAAATGTAATCTAGCATTTTCTGAGAATTTCGCCTTTTTGAACCTATAGTACCCTAAAACCTTACAGATAGGGCCGCCCGCAGAAAGTCCATTTAAATATGGTTCGGTGCAGATAGGACCACTTCCGACTTATCTGACAAGTTTGGGGATAGTTTTAATGGAATGAAAGGACTTATGCGTAGAGCGGGCTTATCTGAAGGGACTTAGGTGGCTGTAAAAGACTGCCCCATCTGAAGATTTTGGAGTAATTTTGCCAGTACAAATAATTTTACAGCTCACAAAAATCATCCCTATCGTACACATGACTGTGTCTTGAGATACTTCGAACGGAATCTTACGTGTTCTAGTCGCGACTTGACGACTCATGAGTCGTCTCTAAGCTCACATTCTCTTATAATCCTTTTCGTAAACCTTTGCTTTCCACACCCGTCGTCCGTTCCCAATCATGCGCAGAGCAATGCTCCCCTTGGTTCACGTATTACGTTACGATAGTCTCATTCTCTTTGAGCAATTTCCTTTGGTGTGTGACTTGAATGTAACAATGTTTGTCTCACTTATCAAATTTACTGCGCGGCTCGTCCGGCCCGCTACTCCCGAAACAGGGCAATTCGGGAAGCGGCCGAAGAGACAAACCGACTCGCTAACGACTAATCAACGGCTCATTGCAACATTCCGCAGTATATCCGATATGGCGGCGGCCCCTATGGTCCCGGGTTTTGATAGCTTGATTGCGTGGTTGAAGCTCGGGCTAAAAGAGCGTGAACGATCAGCCGATATGGTACTTTCAGCATCGGGCTGTGCTGACGTTTGGTTTACACTTTTGGGGGCCAGCAACAGGTCGCGTTAGCGATGTAATTTATTCAGTTTTTGTTTCATGCGCGTCGCTGTACACACCGCTCTCACTTTGCCATAGTGCACACAGATACGCCTCCACCACGATTTTTCACACCCTGGGTGCGTTATCCCCAGAAAATGTGTGACTCGTGATAGGTGGACTTTCAAACACCGAAAAAATCACAGCAATAATTTACCAGCCAAAAAATTAGAAACCTTTATTTTTTCGCTGAGCTTCTGCGACTAGAAAGAGTTAAATGTGTCAAAACCCTGTTAGAAAACACATTAACATTCCATTCAAGCACCGTGACGGTTTCGTCTATGGAGCGCTGATTAGCCCAAATATAAAAATAATTGCAAGCTACCAGCAAATAACAAGATGGCATAGTAATCAGACCAAATAGAGAGATCGAATAACAATGATTGCCTAGGAGAAGCTGGAGCGTCTATTTCGGCAAAAGATTACGTATGCGTTCTTAGCTTTTTGCGTAGGAAGATGCGATGATTCTCCCCTATTCTCCCCTATGAGTAAAGCGTTTCCCTGCGCGTTTCCTGATCAGGAAAAAAGTAAGAAAGTGTACAGTCAAGGCGTGTGGCTCATTCTTTTCGAAACGGCCACACGAACGCCGAACGAACGAACCTAAGAGCGTGAAAAGGCGTTACGCGCCTTTTCCCGTACGCGTACTTTATTCGTCACTGTTTCGCCGGCTGGCATGTTTGGACGACACCGCTGAAGGTCGCGCACAGTTTTGCATACGATTGATTGCGCCCGGTCTAATCCGAGCCCGAACCACACCAACCAGCCAGCCGCACTCCGCCCTCCTGTGTTCGTTCCGTCCGTTCATCGTCCCGCACTCGGACAAGCTAGGTGTTCACCTAAATTCTCTCCTGGTTTGCGAAATTTCTTCCCCGTCTCCGCTTTCACCACCCGAACCATTCCGCGACACATCGGGTGGCGCTTCGCTTTCTGTGGGAACATCGCGCGGGATGCGACGTTAGCTCCCCCAATCGCGCTTCGCAACCAAGCTTTTGCTTCGAAACTAGTGCCGATACTAATACAGTCCCTACGTGCATTACGCTTATGTTCAGTGGCGTTTTTTGCTGCCTTTGCCAGCTGTGTGTTGTGTGTTCCCCCCAACAATCAGATTCATGACTCGTTTGTTTCGCTCATAGAACGTCTAATCACTCGAATATTTCGAAATTGTGAGCTTATAATTCGTCAAACTGTCGTCGCAACCACCCACCTTGCGCTCCGAAACGCTAAGAACATTGTCGAAAATCGCCTATAAGCCTAATGACTTCGACTTCGTCCGGTTTCTGTCGTGGATTAGACGAAGATTCAACACATTGGCGCAATGTCTTCAGAATTTTCCTGAAGTCCAGATTCTCTTTTAGATACATGTTGTTCTTGGCGCATGCCGAGGGGTTACTAAGCGAATTAGCCTACGGTATCAGTGCGTTCGCAGTGGTGGCTTGTAGTCAATCGGTGGCTAGAGCTAGACATTTGAAACCTGTTCCTTGCGCCACTTTCAGTTTTCGTTCCAGCGCTAGTGGTACTTTGTGTGTTAGCAGCTATTTTTCGCATATTCTATGGACACTTTGTTCCTTTTTGAACGCTTATGAAAAATCTATTATGATATCTGCACAATCTTCACCAGAATTGAACTACGCAAAAAGTTCATATCCTTTTGCATATTTTGCGTGATTTGTAAAGTTCAAGTACATGGAATAATTTGACAATTTTAGATCTTTGCTCTGACTGCATGTTCTCACTGCAGCTGCGCTCCGGCTTCGTGTGTGTTGATTAAAAGCCACAAAACAGTGGTTCCAGGCCTCGTCTGTGCTATAACAGTTGCAGCGAAAATTTTCGCACTTAGTGTCCTCACACACACTCAGTTCCTGTTCGAGGCGTCGCTGTTATTCATGATTTTGTGCTAGTTGACGCATTACACACTACACTACTACCTGCGAAACATGACGAGAAAGTTGTTCATCTACGCCGTTTCACGCCCTCGCTGCCACGTCGTCGCCTCAGTTCGCGCACGCGTGGGAGTTTTATTAACGGCCAGAGCACTATCGACATTGGGGCCAGCAGTTTGTGTGTGTGTGGTGTTTTAGCAAGTTTATACGATTGCTGGTTTCTTTTTTCCGACCGTGGTCGTGTCGAGACCGAAGAGTTGCCATACAATCATTCTGCTGTGTGTGCGTGTGCCTCGCTAGTGTGCGTATCATCTAAGTTCTGATGGTCGATCGATTCTCGCAATCGCGTTTTCACCAACACCGCCACCAGCGTCGTCATATACCAGGGGCGCTTCGAATCCAGCTAGTCCCCCCCCCCCCCTTCGAAACTTTCTCTCTGGAAACGACCCCGTGTTCCGAAACCTTTTGCAACGCATTCACTCTCGTCACTCGGCGATGTGTCTCTGTTTCCGTTGCGTGTTGTGCGCATTGCGCATACATATTTGAGCGTATTGTAGTCGTTTGCGTCGTTGACGAGAGCATTTAGGGAGTGCGATATGCGCTCGAAAATGTGTTCCGAGTTGATGCCCCAATCCATATTAGATCGCACTTGCAGAATTTCGATTCTCACTTTTGCAGTGTAGGACCTTATCCCCCCAAAAGTGCTTGTATATAGCTTTGCCGAAGCGTTTGTGCCTGTTTCTGGAGTCAACCAGTCAGACTCGACACGTCATCGACGCACAATTACTGAACCGGATCGGCGTCGCGTTTGGAGCGAGCGTGGCGCGAGCCTCAACTCAGTTCTTGATCCAGTCAAGGTTTCACCTCACTCTCGATATTCAACTCTGTCATTGCAGTGTCTATTCTGTTCTGGTGTCGGAACAACGCCTTTGCACAGCTGATTCAACGGTCATTGAAGCGAGCAATGAGTTTCGTGCCTTGTCACAATACAACTCTCGTAGATTTCTCAGACCTCGATCCGCTCGCAACAGCCGGCGCTTATCACTCTTCCGACCCGCCACCAACACCAATCCCCCTCTAACTGGACACTTTAGCTGGATTGAACTGAACTTGAACTGCTTGGTTTCGCTCCCCTTCTGCAACGTTTCCTGTTTTCACAAAGCGCTTAGCTACTCTCCTGGATATGTGCTAACCCGGACCTGATAGCTGAGAGCAACAGAATCGCTCTTTTCATGACCAGGTGGCCGACTTTATTTTTTTAAACAATAAAGTTGTCTAGCGTTTTGCACTATATTATTCACTTGACTTCAAACAAATGTGGTAGGATTTTATCTCAGTTCTACTCATACATGATAAAATATCCGACATTGAAGGAAAATGATTTGTCTGTTAAAAAATATAGCCTCTTCTGACAAACAAATTCTCCTCTTTTTACACAATGTTTCCACAATCCCTTTTTTTACAGTTCATGTGCCTGTGGATCTGGTTAGAGCGACTTTTTACGTACTTCTTCTCAGTATATCACATTTCTGCTTCGTCCCCAGTAGTAAATCCTCGAGGGATAGTTGTCCACACAAGGATCAAACTTTATATTGTGCTAGAAAAAAAACTATACCATTTGTTGATGTTTCTACCCGAGGTGTTTTTATGGGTTAAGTGCAGTTTCGTGGCGCGTGCAGGAACACACAGGGGCGCATCGCCAATCTATCACTCCTCCTCGGTCCAACGTGCATCCGTGTGTTTTGATGAGTTCTTTTTTTTTTCTGCTACAGATGCACTCCGGCTTTCCGCTACTTTTACTGGAGTTGATTCAGTCATGTAAATCGGCTACCACGGCTAAACACCTTCATTTCACGTTCTCATTTGATCAGTGGGTGTATGTATGTGTGCGTAGGTGCGACGTGCACATAGCATCATATGTACCATATTGCTTTGTGAATGCGCTTTAGTCTTCTAGAAAGAAACGGTTGAGGACTACGTATATGAGCAATCTTCTCATCAGAGCAGCTATTTTGTTTTTCGTCTTTTTTTCTATGAACTCGCCGCTTCATCTACCGTATGCTGGCAGGTCTCTTGAGCAAGTGTCGCGCGAGTGTCGCGCTGAATCCGTCCGCAAACAGTGCAGTCTGTGCTCATGCCATGCTCATCGTCATTGATGGTGATGCTGGTGATGTTAGTGATGCAAGCGCATCGCGATTCGTTCAATCGCGCTCGCGATCTGGAACGGTGCGATGGCGCGGCGGTGGAGGTGGTGTCTGACGGCGATGATAATGATGATGACTCCGCCCGCGGCCTCACCGCGACACCGTCCGTGCAGCCGTCGGCATTCAGCCCCCTCTGGTTTTCGCTCACGCCAGCCATCATGCATGTGCACTCACGTTTCACGTATTATGTCCGATCAGTTCCGATTCGTCGCGATCGACGTGATGGCGCGGCTGCAAACGCGTAAGATCACCCGCTGAATGACGGCGGCTGGCTTGCCGTCTGTATATGTGTATATCCGTGTGTATACATGTGGTGTGCATGTGGTATGCGTGTGTGAGTTTGTGTGTGTATATGTGTGAGTGTGTGTATGTTTGACCGTTGTGGTGAAGGAGGTACTTGTGGGGTGCGAGATTTATCGCCGTTCAACGACGTCCACAAACACCCAAAATACAATCACCACATCCTCATACACCAATGTCTATTAGGCTGTCACATTATACTCTCACTTCTTTCTCACATCTTAATTGTGTCTTAAACTGCTGGTGCTATATGCTGGTACTATTTTGAGAAATACTTTTAGCACATCATTACCTTCACTAAAATGATCCTCCTTTTTTTAAATGTAAACTGGCGATGCTCGCTAATGTAAGGATGCTCACTCTGTATGTATATACCACCGAAAATTTTTGGAAATTGCAATTCTAGCCACATGGCTGCTTATTTAGATTTTTTTTTGATGCAGCTTCTTACACTTTTTTTCCGAATTATTTTGTTCTCCTTCTTGCTCATGCCAACCCAAAAACCATATAAATCAAATCCAAGAAAGTGGCGTACTTTTATGTTTTTATATAATAAACCAAAAGTGCATTACAATAATCACAAAAGGAAACAATGTAAGCTTTTGTGTTACTTCACATTGATTCCCCATTAACCGTTAATAAGTCAAATTTGCAGTCAGTAAGTCAAAGTTAGTTCAAAATTACATCTTAAACTAATTAGTTTCTTGAGACAAAGTCATGAAAGACCCAAAATATGCTCCTTTCCCATCCCTAGAAATAGCCATCTCGTGAAATTCGATACATTCGCAAATTTTCGCTGTCCGCTGTGGAATTTCTTCCTTAGGCGGAATTAAAGCTTATCCAGGTATTATTGTCACTTCTATTCTTTGCATATAGGCGACTTGATTTATTTTTGCGATTGGTGTAATAGGCGCGCTGGTAGTCCACCCGCTTTCTTGGCCGCGATCGATACCTACTTGTCATTGTCCTACTGTAGGTGGGCGGGGCTGAAGTGCATGCAAGCTGCCTCAGGGGTCGAGTGACCACAGCGTTGTGGCGTGTATGGTGAGTCGGTCTTCGGGCTTGTCGTTTCGAGATAACTTTTCCCCCGGCAGCATGGTTTTGCTGTCCCCTGAATGTGCGTGTGTTCGCGCGCATTCGCGCGACATTATACCAGAGGTATGCCGACGTGCGCGATGCGATAAATGTGACTATGCAAACTAGTCGCGCCACCCCTCCCACTTTCCACACCGTCGTCGTCGTCCTCACACCGTCGTCGTCACCCCTCCCCCCTTATTCAGCACTGAGCATAGCGTTTATGTTCATGTGTTTGCTGGTGCCTTTCGCGTGTATCAACTGCACACTTACGCCGCCGCCGCCGCCGCTTCGTTCCGACTCCTCTCGCTACAGCACAGAAGAAAAAAAAACGCCGGCTGTGATTGAGGTTCCAGCGCGGTTCTCCAACTCTTACATTCATTTTATGTTATCCGGGGGCTGCTCACTTACTGCCATGGCGGCAGAGTCTAGCGTGCAATTGACTTTTTATGCTACGCTATCTATATATCGCGCATGTGTTTTCGCTGTCGCTGGTGCAACCGGTTTCCTAGCGCAGCACATCGCGGACGGCCACCACCGTTTTAGAGTCGTCCTGTTCAGCTATAGAAATTCGCCCATTGCCTCCTTTAACCTACACACTTTGTCTCGTTGCTCTTGCTGCTGACGAATCCGCCGTTGACAGCTGTACATTCAGTGGCTTCCTTACTACATAGTGCATTTTCCAAACTTTGCCAAACGTCAATGCATCCTGCTTATCATTATGATTTCTGAAAACGACGATACTATTTTTTTGTGCTCCACAAATCACGCTTTCTGCCGCTTTAGTGCTTTCTAACGAGTTTTCGCTTATTGCCATTTACAGAGGCTTCATGTTCGACGAGAACAGTAATACCGCCGCCGGAGCTGGTGCTGTGGTGGCTCAGTCGGGCGCTCTAGCTCCGGGAACAATTCCCGGAAATGTCTCAGCTCCAAACTCAGCTATTGTCACGCAATTGCTCAACGTCAAGGATAGCCGCTGGCTTCAGGTAGACCGATGCCCGTATCGAGCTTCACAAACACACACACACTTACTCTTGTGTCTCTACGCGCACTGTTCTGCTATAGAATGCCATTTATTCCTTGGTCCGCTTTTCAATAGAAACTTATCAAACATGTGAAATAAAAAAAAGTAGTGATTAGAACGTCAATGTTAGTGAAAACCTTTATCTGCTTATTGCAGTGCAAATTTTTATTTTATTTACAAAATCCCACTTAAAACCATAAATTACATAACTAACTTCATCTCTAAGACGCCATTGTTGCTTTTCTAAATTGCAAAGATTCGCATTCCGATATATCTCTCGCGCTGATCGTCGTCGCTGTGCGTCTATTGAAATGCAAATCAATTCTCGAACACGGATGATGTGAAAAATGATAGGTTTTTGTTTTTCTTCTAAGTACATGTAAATCGTCTTGGAATTTCTTCGAAACAACCAGTTCCCTACCGTATCGATTTTTTTGTAAAACATTTTTTCTTGTTTTCGAGAAAGCTCATTCTGGTCTCGAATTATGGCGTTGTTTTCGAAAATATTTTGCCAAAACGACTTTTGAAGATCGAATTTTAGCTCTGCTTAACTCTATGTAGTTTCTAGCATAATTAACCTTGCTGCAATATTTTTCTAAATTAGTGGAGAGACATAGTTTGTGATGGGATGGTGCTCGGGTGATCAAATAAATTTTTGACTATCTAAGATAATAATTTAATACTCTTTTTGGAACTCATTATGCTCCTTGTAATTGATGCTTAAATTTTACCAAATCTGCATGGTAGTACTCATTGAGGGTGGTACACAAAAATATATTTTTGGATTTTGGATCAAGGCAGTGGGCACGATTTCGATGCAAAATTTTTACATGATGAATTACCATCAACGTTTGTGACTCGAACTGGCGCCTTTGCCGATAACAGCACAGACTTTTAGTGCTTATAACCTTACAAAAATCTCAACTAAATGTCAAAGAACTCATGTTGCAATTGTACTAAGCTTGTAAGAGGTGATTATACGCTGCACATCGTTCCGAAAATTGCGTCGCCTAACGACGCAGAGAGGCACCAGTAACATGTTTATTCGCTGTGTTTATGGCATCACGGGCATATGTCCGCGCTAGAAGGGTGGCCACACATATTGCTGAGAATGAGCGTGAGAGCCTGTGCAAGAAGCATAAAAAAATTCGCCTGTACGGCTTTTTGTGTGTGTGTACTAGCATGCACCATTATCTAGAAGTTCTGAAAGGCTACTCTATTCGCAGAAGAAAAAAGCTCCTATTAATGTCATGAGAAATTCATTTCTTTCGCGCAAATCTTCTAAAGCGACGTTTAGGTGGAAGTATGTCGCGAGTTTCAACGTGGACAATGTGCAAGAAGCGATTTGGAGTGTAAATTCGCTCATCCACCTCCACATGTTGATGTACAGCAAGGTCGTGTAACGGCATGTTATGACAGCATAAAGGTGAGCCTCTAGTCACTCTTCCTCCACATTCTCTTCTCTCACTCGCCGTTTTATCATACTTCTTTTGTCGTGCGAACCCAGTGAACGACTGGTTGGGGTTGGGGATGTGTTGTGTAATCGATTTCGGTTCATTCCGACATTGAAAGTTCGGTTGCGAAGGGAGCAGAAAGACACTTCGTCTTTCCAGTAATGGCTGCGAACGTTAATCTAGTGCAGCTCTCTACTCTTTTGACTTGGCGGGCACTAAGAGGTACCATAGCTCAAGTAGCTACAGTAAGTCTACCATAGTCAGCTAGGTTCTCTAGTTGGTTGGAGACCGCAAAAGGCTAGCGGGGAGAGATATGGCGGGCCAGCATGCGATCCTTTATTCTTTGCATTGTTTAATGTCGTATTGATGGCTGTTGCCAGCTGGCCTTGCGCCCTTCGTCGTTTCAGAATCGAAATGCCAAGCGCCATGCTCATTTTCGCAAAGCGTTAGTCGAAGAGCGGGATGAGCCGGCAATGAGACAAACTTCACACGTTTCTGACATTCCGCTAGCGCTCCACCCTATTACCGAAGTGGCGCGAAATTAAAATTATCTTCAGGTTGCGTAGGAGCGCGGTAATCACGGTATTCGCCAATTTTGCACCTCTACTCGCCTCCCTCCCCCAGAATCACGCTCAAATCCCTACCAGATCAAACTTTGCTCTTCTGCTGCTGCTCATCTGGTGTTGGTGCTCTGGAGAAACTGGGTTTATCGATAGTGAGAGAGAAGACGAGAGGGAGCCATCTGCCTCTGCAGTGATCCCCGGGGAGTTGCAAATGGAGACAACACGGCACTGAAAAGACTCGGCTACTGGCTCTTTCTCTCTATGGTGGCATCATTGAAATGGTGGCGGTCAGAGTCACGTCCGACATGCACATATTGCATTTTCGTGGGGGCGAAAGGGGAACAGCATTTTTCCAGATATCGGGTTTGTTTCGTTGTCTTGTCTTTCAGAAGTGGGGAGTAGAATTGGAACAAAATTTTCATGTTCTTTCCATAGTTACACTCAGTGAAATAGACTCTGTAAGCATCTTTGGGATAGAAAATCTAGAGCTATTAGTGACATTTACATTACCGTTTCTACTCTGACTAGTTCTTTCAAGAGAACCCTTCTATGAAACTTTTGTAACCGATATCCAAACTACTTTTATGGGTAGTAATATTGGATGTGACAAATGCGCCTTTATTTACAAGCATTGCCTTTCTAGCTTTCAAAGACTAGTGAACCAGATCTAAAGGTGCTAGATTTGCATGAGCGTTCGCTGCGGGAGTAGCGCGGTTTCCCGCAAATTTACCTCTTTCAAATAGGCATACGATTCTTCATATATGGATTCTTAGAAAGTAAAACTATGTATCCAAACTAAATTCATTCTTTGAACATTGCCATAAAATATAAATTTCTAAAAGAAACAAGAGCGTGTACCCAAATCTGAAAATTGTTATATATTTGTACATAAAAAATTATGTTCTCTGCGATTGGGGAACCATTACAAAAATTGGATTTCGTCCAACTTCTGTGCTTTACCTGGTTTATCCATGCCTTCTTCGCACAACGTTTAGGATGTTCAGAAACTACAAATTACACTTAACTGTGTGTATCAACCAATCAATTTCTCCTCTCCAGTCCGTTCCATAATGCCACTATGACACATCCTTTCGTAGAATGCTGTCACGATGAAGATGTTCAATGTGTTATCTTCTGTGACGAGCGCAAGAGAGGGGTGAGTAGATCGAGAGATAACACAGAAGTGTGCATATCCATCATGCCCGGCCATTAGCATTGTCTCGACGGGCTTACGCTTGAGATTGGATCGCGAACGGGTTCGGTTCTCAATTCCAAAGCAAGTGCAAAAAGCTAATCATAGATGCGCAACATGCGTAATGTATGGCTTCATTGGACAGGCGCAAAAGTGTCTCTAAAAAATAGCATTGATAAAAAAATTCAAAGTGTCGCTGAACTTAACATCAAGTCGCTCTCAACAATATCTTCTTACAGGGTCGATGTACGCGGGAGAATCCGAAGTGCAAGTATTTGCATCCCCCACAACACATTAAGGATCAGCTGCTCATCAATGGCAGGAATAATTTGGCTCTGAAAAATCTCATATCAGCTCAGTTAAATCAGACAGCTACGGGACAACCCATAGCGGTGAACCCAATTGCTCAAATCATGGTAAGTGCTTTGTGTCTCTGTTAGCTTTGACCTCCTGACGTCCACCCGTTGTCAATTATCGTTTCAATCCCCTCTGATTAGCAATGAGTGCGATGACTCTCTGAAATTCAGTTTCTGCATGCACTGTGTTGCTACGTTAACCGTTTTGTAGCGTTCTGTCATCTTTGTTTATTCTTTCAGCAGCAACAACAGGCGGTAGCCGCCGCCAATATGATGCCCACTCTACCTTTCCCCTACTATCAGGGCCTGGTTTACTCTCCAGTCCTGCAAGCCGATCCCTATCAGGCTGCTGTCTCGCAGGTATCGCCATAGTCGTTGCTTCTGTTTCGTCCCGCGCGATAGCCCGTTTGCACGATTCTGCCGTGTAGTTGACTATGTTAACAGCTCGTTCTCGATCACTCGCGTCTTGGTGGTGTTTTCACCGGCTAACGCCCTTTCGCCATTTGTCACTATTGGTTCCTAACTGTTCGCGTGTCAGCAGCAGTGTGTGCATGGCTTATGGCTGACAGCTCTGTTCAGCAACTGCAGGCGGCTGCGCTGCTGCACGGGGGTGGCGGCGGCCTGCTTGCAGCTCCTGCGCAGCTCGCGCAAGCCGCTGCCGCTGGCGTCGCACTGGCTGCTGCTCCGTCGGCCGCCGCTCTCCAGCTACCGCTCGCCGTTTCCGCTGCCACCGCTGCCAGCCGCAAGAGGCCTCTGGATGAAGAATCGCTAGCCGCCGATCAGCAGCAGGCGCACTTCCTCAATCTGGCTGCTGCCGTTTCCGCTGCGGTATTCTTTCCTTCTTTTTAGGCCGCTACGTCTTTTGCGTGGCGTGCTTTCCATTTGGTTTAGTTGTACCTAACGCCGTGGCGTGTTGTGGCATGAGCTCCAGTGTGCACGATACCCCTTTCACGACATGCTAAGGTGGGTCCGTTTAGGCCGGTGTCCCCTGCAAGCGTCCAGCAGTGGACAAGAACGGAGCGGTTGTGTACTCAGCGAATCCACAACCAGCTCAACAGTTCAATCCCTACGTGCTACCGGGTCTTCAGGGTTATGTACCCGCCGTGTCATGTAAGTGTGAAAACGATGAACGTTGGTTCTGTTATCTGAACGCAGTAACATTATGATACATTAGCACATAGAAAACGTCGCTACTCGCCTTTTTTGTTCAGTTTACATTAGACACCTTGAGCAGAGACGGCCTTTTTATCTGTTGAGTCACGCCATTCAGCAGTCATCGGCATGACTGTATTTGAACACGCCCGCGCACTGAAAGTAACATGTCGCAGAAAACGTCTACAGAGTACGCAAAAAATCCGAGTAGTTACGGTTTCGATGTCGGTCACAGTGCGCTTCATGTTTTGTTGAGAAATGCTGAAACTTCGTATACAACGATGACGAAGCGCCTTTGTGAGAGCATCTCGAAATTGGCGCCTAAAGTACTGTACCTGCAGAAAAAATATTGCTCTAGAGCCGCTCGGTAATCAGAGTACACAGATAAAATCGACTGCTTATTTTATATGTTAAGAATAATTACGTAGAGTTTGTGATATCAACAAAAACTTATTTGAGGAACCAGAAATCGCTAGTGGCTTTGCATCATTGCGGAGGAAGATTGCATTTTGGCGATTACGAACAAAAACTGCACAGTGAAATGGCATTGTCTTTCTTGCCAGTCGAATGTTCTCTAGTCACATTTGCGAGTATAGGTAATCGAAATTCGAAGAAAATCATTCTTGTTTGTGTTCGATTTAAGAAGTTCTTTCAGTAGGAAGAAGCGGCTCTGGCTGAATAAGTGACTGCTGAGCCGTCGAAATGCCTCGGAGCCAGCTCACTGTCTTTTGCTAACGCTAAGTAGTCCTGCCGCGCACCAGCTGCTCTTAATGTGTTTACAAAAGCTTAGCTATCAGCAAATGAACGAGCTCCATACCAGCATGCACATGAGCTCCGTCATGAGGTCCTGTGGTTTTTCGAACTCATTGCGTTTACCGTACTCGCGCATCGAATCGAGGCGAGTGCTGCTGTGCGTCTTTCCTGCAACTGCACATAATACAGCCTCTAGAGCACATCTCTCAACGAACTAGGTGCAATGTGGCCGACTACACACTAAACCCTACCTGTGCTTTTTCTCCTAACGCTTGTTAATGTGAGTTGAGTTTCAGTCAGTGGGCCACTGCCACCTCGCTACTAGACCACCCGACTGGTCGTTGGTCCGTGGCCCGTCTTCCGCCGTACTCTGTGATCCTCAACGGTGATTTGCTTGATGTAGCCAATGTATAAAACCGCTATCGGCTTGTTCTCGTCCCAAATAGCTCGCGCTCCCCTCTTGCCGCGGAGCCTCGTATCACGCTTTGATGGATGATCTCGTTCGGTCGGTGCTCGTCTCGCACGGGTTTTCTAGTCGGGCGCCGTGGGGCTTGGCCTACGTCCGTGGCTTTGCTGTCCGTGACGGCTTGCTAAGTTTTCATTATTTTCATTTTCCTTTTTTACGTTTTCTTTGTCGTAAAGTGCATCCGCGCTAACATTACCGCAGCGGGTAAGGGATCCATAACACCCCCAATCGCCCTAATTCATTTTCATCATAGTCTATCTGAAAAATGAAAGTAGAGACTCAAAAATTGTTTTCTTCTTCAATGTATCTGTTCTAATATGAATGACTTATGAGCGTTGAAAAGTTATGTTATTATTGATTTTATGATTAATTCATGCAACGAATTTGAATGTCATTCAGTTTCTATGAGGGACTGTTTTACATCTGTTGAGTTCCTATGTATTCATTCATCACTTCATTTTGACATGAAGACGAATTGTTGTAGTTTTTTTTTTTTGTTTTGAACGCTATGTTTTGTATTAAGCCCATATGATTCACTGTGTTTTAGGTTATCGATATTATCAATAAAATTCTACAATGACGAGCGAAAGAACTATCACTTGAAGTTATAACCGTAGTATCGGTGTTAGGTGACTACCTAGTCAAGAAAGTTGGTTAGGAAAGTGTTTCATCTTATGTCCCACTAAAACCACCTTTTTGAGAGCATGTCCTGATGACAGTAGATGCTTCAACGAAAGTTCGCGCAAACAATTTGAAGAAGCTTGTTATTGATCAAAAGACGAATCTGGCCGAGAAACATCCGTAATTTCAAAATTCAATACAAGTAAAACTGCTCACTGTATAGAAACAACCGCTTGAACTCATTCTGTTTGTTTGATGTTCACTCACAAGTTTGATTTTCAGACAATCTTTGCACGAAGGGTAGGGAGCCTATTGGGGAAGAAAATAAAAAAATTCTTTTTTCTACAAGTAATGTATCGGTATCTTAGAATCATTAGGAACAGTGCATCATATTCGTTTAGGACTGTTTGCAAATCATCAGATCTCTTCCTTAAAATCCACTAATAATCTTTGTCGATAAGCATAATGAAAAAAGGTATAAAACAGAAAACAGTGAACTTAAATGTCGGAGTTTTTACTAAACAGTGTTAGCCCCAAGGTTTGTTTGTCATGAAATGAGGATTCAAATCAAACAGAGTAAAAATGCAGAAAACTAGTATTGTGACTTGCAAATTTTTCAACCTGAGCATCTTCGGAACTGAGCTTTGATTTAGCTTACCTGCTGGTTTTATTTTCCACTGACCCAATCTTCACAATCTCTAAGCTCCAGTTACCACTATGAACAGCACTCTGTTAAAAATTTTTTCGCTTTTCCACCTAAGTACTACCAACGATAGTATCGTGTCATCCATTGCATATTGTTCATCTCCTGCTAGCATCTAAACTGGTTTGGAAGCTGTAGATAGCCGAAAATTTGCAAAGAATTTCGTAATTCATTGTTAGTTGCGGACGTCTTCTTTGCGAACGAAACAGATGTCAAGCCCACAATCAGTTATTTGAATAAGCATAGCCATATCACCTGAATAAACAGATTTGTGACATTTATCTTTCAACATTTGTATCAAATTCTACTTTATCAAGAGCAACGTTGAAATCTGTGGCTAGATAAAACGTCAGCCCCAAGAAGGGAAAATCAGTGAGCGCCTTATTAAAACTCGATGGCATGAATTGAAGAATTGCAGAATTGTTGAAGCTCTATTAACTTTCTGACTATGAAATGGTGCCTTGCCGTCCATCTACCCAGCAATAGGCTTTGGAATCTTTGCAGTCTTTTTTGTAGTGTGAAATTGACTTATATTTATATTTATATTCATATACTTACGTTACACAATTGTAATGTGTCATGCTAAAAAAACCTAATAATTGGATAGGAGAGTGAGTTATGAAAAATGTGTTTACTGAAGAAGTACTGTGTCAATGTACAAGGTGCCCCAAAAGTATGTATACACTGTTTGATCGTTGATATCTCTTTTCAGATTGATTTACAGTATAAAGCGAATTACCTATCGTTCATCATTACAGTACGATTACAGTATGAACTTCTGGCTTACAGCAAGCGTCCTTGTGGACCTCGTGTTTCAAAGAAAAGTTTCAAAAATTCCGAAAAGTGGTATATCAGGGATATTAAGCGCCCTGATTTCACTACTCAACTTTTCAGGAGTTTGTAGAGCTTTTTAAAGGGTGTAACCACAATTTTAGGGAGCATTATAAAGACAGCTATTGCGGTTTGCCTGCCATAAGTTATGAAGGAAGCATCGCGGTAAAATGCAATGTTCGCATTTGGTTTTAGCGACTTTAATTAGCCTAATGTAAGAGTTTCCAGGTGGTTTGGTTTGCTTTCAGGGACTCAAAACGCTTTTTGAAGTTCCTACCGTAATTCTACGGTAATGAAGAAAGATCGGTTACTTGCTCCATACTGTAAATCTTAGTTGAACCAAGCTCTACAATATGATACCTGAGGTTAGGCAAAAGACTTTAAGGGAAGCGAGATATTAACGACCAAACAGTGTATATATACTTTTGGGACACCCTATATGTACTGAAGACTGTGTTACGACTTGTATGCTGCAGAATTTGCTTGTTGCTTCGAACGCACTTACTAAGAATATTTTGAATGATTTTTTACAGTAATCTTAGTCATAAGTACATCATCCTAAAATCTGGCATAAAAGGTCGCTTCATCCGATCCATATAAGTCCGTCTTCAGCTGTGGTCCGTCTGTTAAATTCTTTTCCACTTCAGGCACCCCAGAATCTTCTTAGATAGGTCTGAAGTGGCCTTATTTGTGTCGGACTCAACTTCGGACGGATCTATCTGTGGCTTTATAAGTCAGATTTTAGGTTAACCACGTCTTTCGGCACATTACTGATATTGTGAATCAAAGAAAAAATAATTCGTTCCTTCTGATGAATGTGGCATAGCCTGAAATGTATGAGTTGTGTGAATTTCTAGAAAGGTTTCAGCTGCCTAATTTTGCCGTTTTAGTAATACTGCACAATACGAAATAATGTTGACTCCTCGACTACGGGTTCATCGTGCTAATGAGTGTGTTAAATGAGCACTGATGGGGGCTATTGCACATGCTAGCGTGAATTTGTGCTATGTTGACAATGGATTGGGTTGCGGCTAAGACGGAAATGAAGACGACGACGTTGCTTGGAACCCTTTGTCAAATAGATAGTAGCGCTTCGAATTCGGTTCTCCAGTTCAGCCAGATTAAACCAAGTAATACGCATTGACGGGGGGGGGGGGGGGAGGGAAGGAAAGGGGTGAATTATTAACTCAGCACTTGCTCACGCACGCGTACTACGGTAGTTACGGTAGTTGCTAAGCCTCCTTACCTATTCATTTAGTTTTCTAAGAACGCCATGTAGCTCAAACTCTCCTCCGTAAAAAAGATCACCCACGAGGGCTGGGTTTTCACCTTAAATGAACAATAACGTGATATCGGCCTTCAAAGCTGTAGAGTCCCTTGTAAAATATAGCAGAGTAACCTGGAAATTTACTGCAGCTTGATCTGCACCAAGCTTTTAGCAGAATGTCTACCATTTTCCATGATTTTAAGGAAAAACAAATCAATATTTGCACAGCGTTGCCTTTTATACAGCAAGATATTTCTTCGAGGTACTTTGGTGTGATACAACATCGTATCATACTTTTCTCAAATTAAACCGCTCACTAGAAAGAAGCTACGAATTCCCTCATATCTGCAAAAAAGTACTATATGAAGTAGTTTTTTTTTTGAGAAATACAGGTTTCTGCTAATGTCTTGGAGCTATACTACCATTTTCATTAATACTGCCGTGCTGTGCTCCTCACACGAATCTTATATATAAAGCTGAATGTCTGTTTGTCTGTCTGTCTGTATGTCTGTCTGTATGTCTGTCTGTCTGTATGTATGTACGTATGTTCCGAATACAAATTTTTATTTCTGAACCGATCGGGACCAAACTTGGCACACATATACTTCAGGGCAGGGAGCGTGTCATAGGCTACTTTTCGTTATCGATCGATATCGATTTTATTGATTTTTTGCAAAATTCGAGCTAGAGGGCTGGGATTTGGCAGAGGGTGGTAATCGAGCATGCTGATCACCCCGAAGGGGTGATCAGCATGCTCGATTACCCCCCTGTGCAAAATCCTAGCCCCCTAGCTCAAATTTTGCAAAAAATCGGTAAAATCGACATCGATCGATAACGAAAAGTGGGCTGTGACACGCTCCCTGCCCCGAAGTGTATGTGTGCAAAGTTCGGTCCCAATCGGTTCAGAGATAAAAATTTCTATTCGGAACATACGTACACGGGTCTAGCTGGCAGGCCCGGCGGAGCCGGGCAAGCCAGCTAGTTAATGATAAACTAACTCTCTTTGCTAGAAAGGCGCCTTTGCTTGGTTACGGTACCCTCTACCGTATACCTAGCGGAAGTTCATGGTACTCTCGGACTTCTTTATCGGGCGCTTTGGCTCTTTTGCAGATTATAGGTTACAGAACTTCATAAGATTTGAGTAATGCAAGTGCAAAAGTTTCTTTTCGAAAGGCACAATAAATTCTATCTCCTGCAGAAAATGATACTTACATCAGCTCCGTATTTTTATACGTTGATGTTTGGCAAAAGAATAGCGTCTCGTTATCCACTTTCTGTAATAGAATAAATCCAGGC